GAGCCTCTTACACAGACATGTTTCTTTAAGATATTGCAGTGGGCCTACACAACGGTCATGTTGCTGGTGTTTTGCAGCAGCGAGCTTCTGACACTCATATTTTGCTGGTGGTAATTGTGTCTAGACTAATTTACCACTGACTTGATAGTGAAGTATTGCATCAGTAAGTTGGCTTGGAGCATGTTGACGATGTTTGCCGTTGCGAGTTTACTACGGGAATGTTGTTTATGTTTTGCTGCATCTAGCATACAATTGTTGCTAAGGCCGTTGGGTTGCCATGGGTGACATCAGTAGCAACGACACAAAGGATCGTCCGCAAAAATACCAACATAATTGCGGACTCCTGATTTACGGGCCAGTTCACGTCAGAGCTCAACGAACCATGAAGATACAAAAAGTTGTGACTGAAAAATTACCGCAACTAAAACACGAAGATTGTTTACACTCAATTAACATGACAGATTCATCCGATATTCCATCTGTAATCGGAAATAGAATGTTGTATCTGACAGCCGACGTTCAAGTGATTTTTATTTTAAGAAATGCAGAAAGTGCGGGGAATTAAACAGTATTTAAAGTTAAAGTTTGTAAAAATTATGACTTGATATCAACCAATACGTGTTGACTCTGGAAGAGGAAAAATGTTTGCCTGCACGCGAGTAAATCCGGTTTCAGAAAGTCAAATTTAGGATATATAAATTTTTTTATTTAACTAAGTAATATTTTCCCATTTCTTCCGAGTAACTTTAGTTCTATACTGTTTTACTGTTGCGAGTAGAATTAAATAATATAACAACTTTTGTAAGATTATTACGGAATGAACTCTTTTTACATCATATTGGTGTACGTGTGCAAAAGCAGTGTCATTTTGAAATGTTTAATTTTAGTTGGGAGCATTAAACGATGAAATCAGTCACTTAGCAAAGCTACGTTCAGATCAACATAGCTCGCATGAGCTGGCATGGGGACACCCTGATGCAGCAGATGCCCGTCTACATAAACAACGCTCGACAGTCTCTCACCACAAGTAAAGCTTGCGAAGTTTACACACTGAGCCCTTGTGTGGGACTCCCCGCGACCACTATATGCTTTCTTTCTATACCTTCAGAAACATTTCATGCCGTGCGCTCAGTCGGGCGTGAGTTGTTCACATGTCCTGTACTCTGACGTTGATGAGATCATTTCATTTCGTTGGTAGGGACAGAGGATACGTGCACAAAAAATGCTACAATTTTCCATGGGAAATATCACGCATTTAATACTGCAATTATGACGTTCAGGTGATTGAGCAAGCTTGACTATTTATAAAATACGTAATTTACAATACTAGACCAAGTCTTGCTCAATCCTGTACTGCATGACCCAAATAATTCACAAATGTCAGGAGCAGTTCGCAGTGATCAGAAATTGTTACAAAAAATTCTTATTTTCAACAATTACACGCAAGCCTGATGAAGCTAATGTTCTGCAATCTATGAAATATTAATGCAGGTAGGATTTAAATGAGTTCGGCGAAACCACTCGTTCTCAACTGATGTACTGAGAGGCTAAACACAATGGCAAAAGTGCCTAAGCAAAATAGACGGTACTTATTTTCAACAATAACACGCAAGACTGATGAAGCTGATGTTCTGCAATCAATAAAATATTTATTCAGGTAGCATTTAAATGAGCTCGGCGAAACCACTCGTTCTCAAGTGATGTACTGAGGGGCTAAATACAATGGCAAAAGTGCCTCAGCAAAATAGACGGTACGGACGCCGCGAGCAATAATAAAGTTAATGAGAAGTTGCACTCGCGCTTGAAGCGCATCGGTGGTCGCGCAAAATAGAGAAGCTCGAATCCAGAAGCAAAGCGCATATTAAAGACCGTTTCGAGACACACAAATTATATTATCCTACATATTAATGGTCTCACCGAGCTCCCGTCTTGCTTAAGAAACGAAGCTAATTATTGACCTGTCCATTTTTGCCCAAATGCAAATGAGAACTGAAGATTATATAAGGTATACTTCCATAAGATTAATAGCTTCACCTGGAGGCAACATAGAAATAAATGTTCGTTTTGCTCTTCAATACACTGCAATCGCCAACATTTTTTGCTACAAGCAAGAAAAAGTATTCCCATAAATAACCTGACTAAAAGACAATAATTCTACTTAATATTGTGTGGTTTGGCCGCACAAGGTATAAGAAGGAGAACCGGTAAATTTGACTTACAATGAAGATAAATCACTTCTCTTCCATCATGAGAAGATGGAGGAACATCAGGTCACTCTGAAGTTGCTCACACTGCGAGCGGCATTAGGGTCAAGTTACTCGCGTATCAATCAACGATTGTTTCTTGCCATTATATGATGTTTGAAACAAATAGCGCACGCATGCTAGTTAGCCCAAACAATAAAAAAAAACATTCCTGGTATGAGTCGAAGTCAATAAATTTTTCGAGTTAAACATTTTTTAATAGTTAGGCCGTGATGTATTTTCTAATCTTAATTTTGTCTTCGGTACCTCAGGTCCACAAACTATATGGTACCTATATGGTACCACAAACAAAGTGTCAAAGGTAATTCAAGCTGGGCCGATCGTGTAGGGAAGTCGTTAAATGCGTAAGGGTAGATGCCTTTTCCACGACTCAAGAACTATCTTCACTTGAGTTCAATGATCTCTAGTGCACTTTACATTGAAAAGTAATGATAACGATCAGATTCTTTGATAACCAGGTTCTTGATTCATTCTTTGTTATCTTGTAAAATGTTTAATGTGCTTAAATGAAGTAGGTTTAGGTACATGAGTTTGTGCCATGTTTAGAATAACAATATAACTGAGAAATAATTTTAAACCTTGCTGCTCAAAATTATAGGGCATGCATTGACTGTATTTTTTGAAATGAATTATAAAATAAATTTAGCCAATAATCATGTATGTCGAATCACCTGGGAATACGTGGTCATTCACATGAACTTTCCTGCTGTCAAAAAACGACCTATACGCGTTTAAGTCCAGTCCCAGTTTAACCGGTACTGCTGCAGAGATGGTACTCTTTTTTTCTGCTGTATAATGGCGCATGGTGGCGTGGAGGTCTTTAATAACAGACTTTCTCTCCCTGATATTATCTGAGGCGCCCCAGCACGCATTGCAAGATGAGCACGTGGGAAAAACCGTGACTCGTCGGCTTTCGAGGAGAGCTTAAATTCCATTCTTAGCTTTGGAAGTATCAATAAAACAAAATTAGGCATAACTTGTTGCATGCATACTTCACCATCGCTATACAGTTTAAAGCAAATCACTGCAAAATTTTTATTTAAATAGTACCGTCTCGGAAATTTCGCAGGACAATTGCTCGCTGATGAACGCAATGACTGTCGAGATGCGCTTGACTAAACTCGTTAGATGCCAAACCTTGGGCTGGCCCCCAGGCAATATCTCGGGCTTCGTGTGTCGTCTGCAGCCATTGGCATTGCGCAACGCTGGTCACCTGGCAAGAATGTCGCTTTCGACCGCTGGAGTAAAGGCAGGTGCTCTCTAGCTGAAAACTTCAGCTCGCCGTATACGTGATCTCGTGCTACGATTATACGTTCAAGAGGCGCACGAGAGAGTCCCAAATTTCCACCAAGCCTCAAATAAATGGAAAAAATCGTTCAGAACAATGCTCGTCAGATCAAGAGGCTAATTAACTTTATACATAAGAAATCAAAGTCCGGAAAAAGGATATAGAGGCATTGGGGAATACGCTATTTTTAATTTCGCTCAGTACAGTCTGCTCAAGAGGGGAATTATACACTTATTAACAAATATAAGCGAATTGAAAATCTAATTCTTAAATTAATCTTATGTTAGAATCACTGACAAGGCGGATAATGGCAAATAATAAATAAATCGAGAACAGAAATATGAATCGTTACAGGAATGTGAAATAGCTAAAGGGCTCCTAAAACGAGTTGACATCTGTAATCTTTGTGAAAGGTCTGCTAGCATTTCACAAATCCGGGGATGAAGACGCAGAAGCGGACAAGTGCATAAACTTCCAATTCAAGTTAGCATAAAGATAAAAATCATCAGGTGGAGGGAATAACAACGTTTATGGCCAAGACAGTAGAGGATTAATATACCTAGACTTTCATATAAGGAGATCACCTATCATGACTCACCGGCGATTCTGTTATTATATCCACGTATTATACGACTGGTAAACCTTCAATAAATCCATGAGTTCCTCTTAGTGAGTTACAATAACTTCAGTCTCAGCTCTGCTGTCCAACCACTCGTAAAACCATATTAAATATCCATACTTAATTACACGGATCAAAAAGTTCGTTCTCTGTACGTATCGTTAACAAGTTTTAAAGCGTATCCTCATATCAAACTCAATGGCTCAATAACGCGTCGTAACTTTAATTCGCATTTATGTCAATATATATTGAAACGTCATAAATTGCATCGTTAAGTCTCTTCATTCCCGTTGCCCATTTCTGTATCTACTAACAGCCTAGTTGCGCCAAAATTTGCCCACTGCCCCGATGTTAGCTATTCTAAAATGATATAAATTTTCAATTGAAAATTACCCTGTAATAGATTCGTGAGTACAAATTGTAACGCAGTAATTGTTCCGTAGTAAAATCTGCCTGCCTGTAATGTAGTAGTAATGTCTGCCTGCCTGTAATGTTACTAATCTTTGGTCGGATTGAAGGAAAAGAAAAATTAAGACAGCGAAAATTTTGCGGCAACAGCAAAAATATTTCCGAAATTATTTCGTGCCATGACGTATAACAAAAATTAAACACCTCAGTAAGAATTTCCGAGCGTAGGCAAGCCACTGGGCACCGCGTGACAAGCATTTCCTCATGTGAAGAAGAAGCCGAAACAAATGACCTTAGAGGCAAACGGATCAGAATTCACAGATGACGATGTCTTTTCCAAGTGACCCAAAATCATTGATTCTCTAATTATATAATATCATTGAGACCATGCAGGCATGGCTTGCGATTGATTTGTACTCACATTTTATAATCAAGTATGCCGGCAAGGTGTCACGGGCTCGGCTGCTCTAAATGATCGGCCTGTCACAGTTCACAATAAATTTATTGCGCTCACACTTGCTCTCTCTGTCGGGTGGTGAGTGCTCAGAGCACGTGTACAGCTTTTTATGGGCCTCTGAAATTATATATACTTGTATTTCATGAAGTAGTTATAAAATAATCTAAATTCACAGCACTTGTAGGTTCACATACTCATAAGACGTTAACTGAAATCATGAATTTCTTACACGTTTACTAGACAATTTTGGCCCTTGGTTCACGCGTATCACTATATTTCTTGCTCTGGGGCCTTTTCAGATGCTTGAAGGCGAATGTCAGCAAAAAAAAATATGGAAAAATTTACTGTCACCGTCGCAGGGAAATGAAAGAGTTACGTCGAGAGCATGGCAGGAGGTGAAACAAAGGAGCGCAGGAGGAGGAGTGAAGGACACTGACTCAGAAGGAGCCTAGGATGCCACTGACCAGAGGACTCCATCAGACGCCATCATGAGCAGCTGTGGCCGCTGCGGCCGCTACCAAGTTTTTGCTGCCCATTGCGTTGTTGTGGTGTAGATATTGTGACAGTAATGCCGTTTGTGGTGTAAAATAAGAAAAATCAATGCCGTTTGTGGTGCAAAATAAGAAAAATCAATGCCGTTTGTGGTGCTAAATAAGAAAAATCAATGCCGTTTGTGGTGCAAAATAAGAAAATGAGGTTGGTACTTATTTTCTGACGCTTGTATGCTAATGTAGCTGTCTCATAAGAAAAGTTTTATCTCGGGTATCTTCATTCCAAATTACTTACGCTTATTGTGTATAAGGAAGAAAGTCATGCAATAAATAATTTCGCCGGTGAAATATTGCTAATATCTGCTGTGGACTGGATTTAACGATTAAAAGCTACGAGCAAAATGAGGATGTTTGTCATCCTGCACCTTGATAGGCAACGCGACCTTGGCAAGCAAGGTTCATAAATTAACTGTCGAATGCGGTATATTCAGTATGATTCTTGGCTGAAGATTGTACACGTAGTTCATACGCGTTTTTCAGCAATTATTTCTGTTCTTCCCATGACTTTCGTTACTTCAGACATTATAGTCTAGGCTACTTAATAAAAAATAAGAGGCTATAGACTTTTTTGCTTGGTAATTGAAGCCATAATCCATGGTTTGATGATTGCTTATCGTAGCTTACTTTAAAAATTAGGTGAACCACAAATAATGAAATAGATCACTAATAATTAAATAGATGGATCAAAGTCATAAATATCAAGTCTCTAATATTCAGTAAAAATAATGAAACTTAATGTAAATTTTAGTAAATAATGAAATGATAAAATTCACATAGATGATATGTAAATTGTATTTAATACAACAGCAGGGGCAAATGGCTTACTAGACATCGCCCCCAATTCTTGAAACTCAAGACTCTATACAAGCACTAACAAGACAACATAACTACCAGGTTTTTAATTAATAAAATTAATAAATCCTTTTTATTGGAATGGTGAGTGTGGGAGGCCTTTAAAAAAAAACTACCAGCTATTTGACGTTATCAGTGGAGCTGCACGTCGTTCACGCTTCGTTATCGTCACGTCACGTCGATAACACCGCAGGCAGCGTAAGCACGAGCAACTTTCAACACATGTGAAGAAGTAAATAATCTCCAGTGAAGAAGTTGATTAAAGACTCGTCAATATCTCACGTACATCCGATGTTGCTCTCACTGCTGCAGGGCTAATACTTAGGAAGTGAGATGAACTATGAAGCACAGCTCTTCGGAGTGAAGCAAGGTCGGATGTAAGCACAAATGGTACCAAAAATATAAGAAAACCATTTGAGGAATAAGAAAATGATGAGAAGAATAAGAAAATGATGAAAATGTTTGCAAACTGTAAAACAGTAACCAACCCCTCAAAACATTATTTGAAGTCGGAAAAATTTGAATTAATGCATTTTTTCTCTTCATTTTCTTACAAACTTTTCTGTCGGACTTATCTTACATTGAAAAGACATTAGAACAAATCCATTATAATTTAAAATACCTGTTATCCAATTCTCAATACTTTCTTCATACAAATCTTTCGCGCGCGGTCCCAACTCAACGTCATCCTCGAAATTATTTTTGACCGACCGCACTTCTCGCCAACTGCGACCTCATGCGACTGAGAGGGTCGCATGCAGGTCGCAGTTGGGGTAGCTGTGTATGGTGACATGGTTAGAAATAATTTTTTAAACCTTAACCTTGCGATTCATATTTTAAGAAAAGAGCATCCGGATATATCTAATGTCCTGCAATTTTATTTCCCTCTATTTGGTTTACTTTTTAGTCATATGGGTTTGTTGGAATCCTCACTGTTAGTCTATTTGTACGAATCGTTCATACCCATGGGTCGAAATTTTTAATGTAATGATATTGCTTGCCGCGAAAAAGTTTTAATAGAAATGAGACGAATGCTTCCTATTTTACCGTATCCATATTTTAGGTGAGAAGAATAGCTTGTGGTTGATGTTTAAAATTCGGACCATTCCGTCAATGGATATTACTCTCCGATGTTGGGGAAAATCCAATGAAGCTTTTTGTTCTCTTTATGGTACACTGCAGTTGAATTTTCTATGTGAGTTAAAAGCCTTGCATCCGTTCACTGTTTCCCAGTAAGATCAATATCCCCTGCTCAAATTAGAAAATGAAAGACAACAAAGAATATCGTAAAATATGTTTCATTCAACATTTGCTAACGGTTATAAAATAAATGAGGCTCTACTCTTTGATAAACGAAAGAAATTTTTTGAGTTATTCGAACAGTTGAGCTTGTAACTTAAGGTGCGTCCCACATTAGGACTTGCCTTTAAATTTTGTGGTTGTTGCTTGACTAAAACTTTGTTTCTAAATATAATCTTTATATATTCTCCTTAATATCATCTGTACGTACAGTGAATTACAAATTAATTTATTTAGTTCCCCTAGGCTAAACTCTAACTCGAATCGACATAAGTTGCGGTCACCCATCCATGACGGCCCCGGACGGGTAACCCGTTTGGAAATTTTACAAAGGTGCCCGCGGACAGTTCCGACCAGCCTTCCTCAATGCCTGGTACATGAATCAAAATAAAGACTTCATTTATTGAATATCCCACTGACGGATAAAGTATTCACGAGTTAAAACCATTTCATTAGGTTTATGTGGTGGCTTATAAGTTAATCATGTTCCTGTTAGGTTGTAGCAGTTAGCCAAACAATAAAATTTTCTTTGTATTTGAAAAAATTGTACCTTCGATGGATCACCCAAGTATTGGAACCTAGCAGTTAGAATGAGACGACATAGTACATACTTAGTATGTAAGAATGTGAATGTGACGAATTCATACAAGTTGCCTACGTAGTGAGTATTGTAATTTATGATGAATGAGCAGCGATTCTTCATTTTCCTTTGAATTTATTCATATGAATATGTCAAATCAATGAGGAAAATATGGTTACTCTTTCCTTCATTCATTTACAGGCCCAAGCCGTACAATCCAGTAAATGACGTCTAAAATACTGTTAAATAAGTTATCTCGAAAATACTTTAATTTTTGTTTTAATGAGGATGATGACGAAACCCAGCAGCGAGTTCAGAACCTGGACAACGAATTCGTCATTTTAAGAAACTCACTGATTGAATAATGTTATCAATAGTACCAAGCGTAGTCTAGCCTCTAGGCCTTCTAACTTGTTTCATAACTTATGACAATGACGCGAAATAAAAATGAAGACCCACAAATCCTTCATGCTAAAGTCAATTTTATGATTAATGTGATTCTCAGTTTTTGTCCGTTTATGTCAATTTTGGACGCATTTGTCATGAAAAATTTCACACACGTGTTACTATTAGCAAGAAATAACTATTGCACGTTGGACTCATATAAAGTGGATGTTTCACATCATTTTCAACTTCGGTGCAAATCTGATTTGTCTGCTGCAATTATTCATAAGTCCTTCAAAGCTGAACGCATTTGCTTGAACTTTGGAACATGAGTAGGTATTATCAATGCGCTGCGGCAAGAATTATTACAGATTTCTACATTACATCGTTTTTAATTAAAACGAAAAAACGCAATTTGTAGCAACTCGCTTAGTCATAACTCCTTCAATACTGAACAGATCTGCTTGAAATTTGGAAAATAAGTAGGTATGATCAATGCGATGGGGTGGGAATTATCACAGTCTTTTTATTTCTAGTTCAAATTGGAACGAAAAAGAGCAATTTTTGAGCAACTCACCGTCATAAGTCCTTCAATACCGAACGAATCTGCTTGAAATTTGGAATGTAAGCATTTGCTAAAAATGCGCTAGTTTTAGTTATCTGAACGGACGTCGCACGTTCTGCGTTTACGTCGTTTAACGGATCAAAAGCTCATTTACAGTAAAAAAAGTTTAAACATAGATAACGCCAAGTAAGTTCACCTTGTCTTCGTGGAAAAAGTTTTCAATGAAGATATTAATTTCAATTATTAATTTTTTAATTAATGAGCGATTTTTTGTTTTGAATTATTATTGAATTTGTAATTCAAGAAGATTAATGACACAATTAAGCAATTATTTATAATACAACGCGTATGTGCAGTTAAGCCTGATTATATGGCCTATCGGCTTCCCGACATATGGCAGCAAGGATGGAGTTTTACTCGAAATATGGATGAGGAAGATATGGCTTCAAATAAAATATAGCTTTTGAGAAATTATGACTCAAACTAAATTACGGCTTCAAATGAATTAGGGTTTCAGAGAAATTGAGGCTTATTAGAAATTATGTCTCAAACAAAATTATATTCAAAAAAAATTATGGCTTAAAGAAATTAAGGCATAAAAGAAATTATGGTTTCAGTTAAGAGAAACAACAGATGAGCACAAATTGTCAAGAAGAACAGATAACAGGCAGCAAAAGCAATAGCTTATACTGTTGATAAAAATAATCAGATGATGCGGTAACATAAGCAAAAAGAACAGACGACAGTCAGTAACAGCAATGGCACGATGTATAAGCGAACATACTGTATAAGCTCAGAAAGGCAAGAAGAAGGAATTTTGAAGAAACAAACAACAATAGAATAAAGAAGAGCAGGAGCAAGAAATAAGATCAATTAAGGTCCGCAGACGAGTTCAGAGAAGAGTCGTTTGGGTACAAGATATACGGGAATTTGCTATTGTCAGCCATGGTTGAATTGATTTAATATAGTTCAACAATGTTGTCAACGGTCTCGTAAATACCATCTCATGGTTCTACAAACAATAAGTTGCTTCTGAAATTACAGATATGAGAATGCAATCCTTGGGCTATTGGTACACATCATACATGAAAACCACTAAAATTCCCACTTATGGATTTTAATTCCGGTTCCTTATCATATAATTATAATATATTTAAAAATTTACCCAAGATTTAGTTAATCTTAGATTCAGTTCAATAGTTCTTAAATATTCCCCGTGAATATTATTTGACTATCGGGCCGGCAAAGAATAATGTATACGTCAGATAAAAGACACTTTATTATTTAAGAAAGTCCTATCATTTTAGCTGCTTCATAATGTTCTGTAACCAAATGTTCGAGATTATTTCAAAATAAATCCGTATTTTATGACGTATGAGAATTACATTTAGGGATTTAACGACGCTAGATATTTGATATTTATTAGCAGTTAAATTTAATAAGTTAGTTAATGATCTAATGGTCAACCAGTGGAGTCCGTCGCTATGGACTCGACTGACTGTTGTGTCGTCTATCTCGCCAAGGGCAGGGAGAGTTTACCACTGGAGTGTGGAGTTGTTAAACAGGCAGTGACATTGAATCCTGGAGTTCTTACAACAAGTTCATTCTGCGACTAGAACAAAACATCCCACCAACTATTGTTTTGAAAATTCACTAGACTTTTGTGCTGCTGGAAGTTCTAGAGCGCCGAAATAACGGGACGGTATCATGAGTGGGACTGGGAGGAGTTAGGTGTGTGTGCCTCCAGTGGTCAGGTATCTGTCTTGTTGCCGGTCGTCCGTGGCTGCAGCCTTCAGTTCGCTGGCGACTGGGGTGCAGTGTGGAGTCTGTGAAGGAAGCGGTGTCGATGGTGAATTACAGCACGTAGCTTATGGAAAATAATGAAGCGGGCCACTGTGATAGCAATGGATGTTACGAATATTGCGGAACCATTGCACAGAGCAGTGGTTCGCAATCAAATTTAGAAAACTTCACGCATATAAATCAATTTCTACCCAAGTATGAATTGGATAATTATTATTGTACGCATCCAACTGGAAATAATTCTGGGGCTGAATGTTCTTCAAAAATAACACAATATCATCATTTGACGAATGCCGAACACTCTGCAAGGTGTGCAAATTTTTCCAAAGCCATGAGCTCTTCAGAGAAAAATGGAATTTCCACAGTGTACGTGTCCGGGACCACTGACAAAGACTCGGATTCTTGTGAGCCTGTTCATATAGCTTTCGTTGAGACAGCAAATAACACGTCAGAATATTCAGGCAAAATAAATCTCATGGTAGTCACACCCGAAGATGAAATTCATTCAGTTTCAGGAGATCCAGGCTTCTTCGTTAATATTGGTTCTGAACCTCAGGTTATTGCGTATTCTCAACCTTCCGACCTCATTGACCTGCTTACGCCACTCTCAGGTAATAGTCCTAATATTGGAGAAGTTTCCTCTACGTCGAAACAAAAGCATGGAACAGAAATGGCCGAAAGCTCAATTTACCAAAACTTACCACGTCCTTCATCATCATCGTCAGCTTTTATCCAAGACATGAATTCTGACAAAGCAGTTGAAAATATGGAAGGTAGTTTTGCCGGCGATAAAGGATATTTTGGTCTCACTGATTCGTCATTGACGAGTTCGGAAAGTGGCTTGCGGTGCCCGGTCGCTGCAGCTGACCCTGATAACGGAACGAGGTCACCTGGTCAACCAGAGGCACAAGCTCCGTGCAATTTCCTTCATGAGATACCCGTAGTTGAAACCGAGGGCAGCAAACAGCCTGCGTCATCTGGTCAGTGTCTAACACCAACAGACACAAGCGTTGTGCCGTTTTTGCTGCCGGGTATTGATGCCAGCGTTAGCTCATCTCGCGCTGGGGCAGATTTGGGTAGCAAGCAATCAAGTGGAGTAGAGACCAGTAGTCATCTCAAATGTATACATGGAGCAATAGATACTCCCCCCAGTTCAACGATCAATGATAGTGTTGTTCCTTCAGCCGTTCGAGTCAGCGATTCTGTGAAGGCATCGACTGAAGGGGACAATGGACAGGCATGGGCTGCGTGCCACAGAATCAATGACTTGCTAGCTTTGGGCACAGCTAAACATGCTCAAGACGTCCCTTCTCCACCAGCCACAGAGAATAGAGGTACTGCTGCTTCCGTCTTAGCGCAAATTCCTGCCAAAAATGACGGAAAAGCTCCGCTCGTTGAAATTCGTCCATATCGAAATAGGAAAAATTCGTTTGACAATTTGATGAACATGGATGATACAAATGAAAATAATTACCATAGTGCTTTTGACGAACCTGACACTCGCGTTTATGCTGAGTTGAAGGATGTCAAAAAGCTTGATAGGCTACCTATTGTCAATGTCGAATCTAGTGGTGAGAAGTTATCAGAAATTTATGAAAAAATGATTGCAGAACGCCAAATCTTGAAGGAGCTTTCGTACCGCAAAAACGGTAATCAATGTGAAACTATATACGCAGACGTTGAGGGACTAACAAGAAAGTTTCCGGCGAATGCAGCTATCACTGGAATGAGATCGGAAGCTAAACCGAGTTTTTTTAATGATGCAATAGCATCTCGTGACGAAGCATTTGGAGCTTCTCTTGTTGAAGAAAAGTACTATAAGCATCCAGGACTTGCGGCTTCGCGAGCTCTCCGTGAACAAGGTGAGAAGGAACTCATGGCTGCCGTGGAACAACTTGACAAAACGGTTCACCATCTGAGCGAGATGTCATCTGAGAACGTCTTTCGCGAGCATCAGTCCATCATTGATGATAAAGATAAAAAAGATTCTTCACGTGAATTTATGCCCGACGTTAAGTCAATCCTAGTAACTCCAAACGAATCTCTGAGGCAATTTTCGGCTATTCATGAATTGTGTCAGGCGTCAATCTCGCCGAAGCCTAAATCCGATGAGCAAGTATTTCAAGAAGTATCAAGTAGCCAAGTCAATGATAAAATAGAAGATTTAAAACCTTACATGGTTAATGAAGCCATAAATGAGAATTGCAATTTTAATTGTATGCCCGATAAGACTGGAGTTCTTGCTAAGTCCTTCAAACGTAGTTGGTCATCCGATTCACATTCATCAAGTAGATCTTCTGAATCTTCCATACTTGCGCTTAGTGATGAAGTAAATGTAACCGATTACGAATATCCGAAAGAGGATAAGAATACTGAAAGCAGAGAAGACGAACTCTCGATGAGCGAGGATCATAATCTTGATAACGGCTTGGTGAGCGCGGTCACGAACGTGGTTAGAAGAAGCTTGCGGCGCGTGAAGCGTCTTAGGAATTCGTTTGGAAAAGCTCGCAAAAGAACAAACAGTGATCTAGAAGGTAAATCTGAAGAACATCGTCGACAAGATAGCGAAGAATTAGACGAGCGACGTCGTTTGCCTGGCAGGCCTCAGTTAGGACTACCCAGTGTCAGATCGCCATCAACATCGGCTGTTTTGTTGCCCTCGATTGTGGCATCGCTTGCTCCTGCAGTTGACACCGCCGAGCTGAAGATTTCTTCGCCGAGGGAAACTCTCACTCCTGCGCAGTCGCCACGACAACGGTAATTACCTTATTTGGTGTATGATACAATTTCTGTTACTGCTGATCATTAAATTTAAGGCTTATCAACCTTTTTGAAGAAAAATAACATTATAATCAGCACTGCGCTTTCTTCTTTCCTTTGCGTTGCCTCAGAATTTTATTTTACTCTGGTATGGCCATCGAAGTAGTTTTAAACTATTCCATTGCATGTGCAGATCAATTTACTAAATTTCTCCTTGACCAATCAATCAAACGATCTCTAGTTCTCAACCCATGAATGCAATGCTGAAACGTAAGTTTTCAATTGCTAATTTGTAATTGTAATTAAAAATTTAAAGCGTGCTAGTTGATAGTTTGAACTTTTAGTGAAATTTTTGAACTTGCTATTGAAGTTGAGTATATACCATTTGCACCTATTTCACTGGCTTAATACAAGACAACCTTTATCTATGTTCTTATCAGTATTTTCAATCTAACTATTGGAACTTGCACAGCAAATTAGTCCGAAAATGGAAAATGCGATGACTGGAATAAAATGTATCGGACTATTGAATTGCCTAATCTACCTCAAATCAATGACTACAATAAAAGTATTTGACAACTTTTACACGTTCACTTTCATCAAAGTATCTCCCTTTTCTGGATGAATTCCCGTTTGTGCTCGAGATTTTTTCACTATGCTTACACTCGAATTCGCTCACTGCAACTGCTCGCTTTCTGATTTTAGGGATGACTAATTCCCGCTTGCTCAGTTATTTGGTTTTCTCATGCATAGCGTGCGTGGTCTGGTTATTCTGTACAGATGTAAAAAATAATTGTTCTGCTGCTTTGAGTTCTTGGACATTCCTGCCTTCATGAATTCCCGCTTGCTCAGTTATTTGGTTTTCTCATGCATAGCCTGCGTGATCTGGTTTATCTGAACAGATTTGAAAAATAATTGTTCTGCTGCTTTGCGTTCTTGAACATTCTTGCCTTCATGATGGCATTTGATTTGCGACCTGCACACCTAATTAACGCGAATTGCTCCAGGGAAGTAGCGGCTTCGGTTTCCCCTTGGGGCGGTTTTTGCTTTCCGCATAACTGCTCCTAAAGGTAGCGAGCTTCTTCGCAGAAATCATTTTACAATCGTTATTACTCGTAGTGAACAATTATCGCAGAACCACTTGTATCCTGCATATTTTCTTTATAATACAGATTAAAATAGTTTGTCGTTAGAGGATGGCACTCTAAAATTTCGTAGAATCCGTCATCAAGTTCCTAAATTTATTTTAGCTTTCAATTGTTAAATAAATTATGTACAAACAGAATAAGATTTACAATTTTGACTACGTTTCTTATGTTTTGTATGCAAGATAGCTGATTTCGTATTATAAATGAAGATCGAGTGATCGTTTATTCCATTGGTACGTTTGTTCTGGATCATCAAGCCTGTACAGGCATTTCAACAATTAGCGCTTGAAGCTCACGAGTTAGCACGCCATCAACCAACTCTGTCTGAAGTTCCTTCCATAATACACCTGACTGATGTAAACCCGTGGTTACCCTATATCGTGATCTTGAGTTGTGTTAAATTACTTCAATTATATATCGTACTCAATACTGTCTCTGGTTGACAATGGTTATTTGCTAAAACCAGAATATTCTCATTACATGATTAACAATGGTTTCGGTCTATCATGCATCCGGAAACACCAGCATCATGTTGGTGCTTTAATATCTTTACCCGAGAAATCTTATTGTTCGATCGCGATTGGGCCGAGAAATGTCAGAGCAAAGCTCTACTTCGAGGACGTTCTTTGTCTCTGTTAATTCAATTTATTTTAGCGACGCATTGTTCCTTTTGGAAGTTTTTGTGCCAGAAACGCTGAGGAAAAATTTCCCATATTAAATTTTCGTGATGATTTTAGATGTCAGTACCATGATTCGAATTATTCATTATATTGACCTTGAGAAGACAATTAAAAATGCGGCTAATGGCAAATATTTCAGAAATCGCGATAAAAAAAATGCGATAATTCATTTTGATGGTTAGTGGTCATTTTTAAATGTAGTGAGTGATACTTAACGTCCAGTTTAAGAATAAAGATATACAGTATACTGTAAGATAACATTCTAATTCTGTCCAATGAAAATATTTTACCTCAAAGTCAACGAACGTATTACGAAAACGAGATTTACATCCATCACTTTTACCCATAAAGCACAAGTTTTGGAGTGGCTATGATCGCCTGAGCTGTAATTCCGCAATGTTTTCTTTAACATGTCGCCCGAGGCGGAATAGGTCAGTTTAGGAGGCTCGGTCGGCGGGGGAAATACGCGCGCTTCCGGTCTGGCTCAACTTTGGTTTGCCGACGCTTTGCATAGCATTGACCTGCCATAGGGGCCATACTTTCAAAACTAGCTAAGTGAACGTAAGTACTTACGCTCTATTTTCTTATCTATGATAGGTGGATTTTGCCTGAAAGGCCGTCAATGATTGGCTGATGAACTTACGATATCTTAACTTTTTTAAAAGTATAGGCCCCGGAACCTCTGCAGCACAGTTCACCACCGCACTGAGGCTTGCAGAGTGCTTGTGCAGGATATTTTATTGTACCACTTGCCGAGTCCAAACTGAATGGAAGCGATTTGCTTTAACTTCACAAATTTATTAAGAAATTTTCCTTTTTATACTTTATTTCATTGCGTCTTTGATCATTTTTAAGATTGTCGAGTGAGCAAATTAGTCTTTTTTAAATTATAGTAAATAAATTTTTACATCCTCCTTCAACTTTATGCCTTATTTAAGTAGTTTACTGGTCTGATGTGAAATGTTTGCTTTAATTACTTTTTCACAATTTTGAAATGAATAATCCCATTATCTGACCATCATGTTATGGAAGCATGCTCAGTAAATTCTACTGGTCGTGTCTGTTTGTCCTCCGTTTACGTCCGTTACGTTGCGTGGCCTCCGGACGGCGCTTCTGTTCCACCGTCTCTGTTCAACGGTACTTCGCCACCACTCAGTCCCAGCGTCTGCAGACGCAGCATCGACTTTTTGCCTCCAATAAACGACTTTAATGAGAACAGCAGACGTCTGCCATGCAGTGACGTTGACAGACTACACCGACTTCTGTATATAAATAACCAATATGATAATACCCTTGAAGACAACGTTTAATTAAATACATATAATAAGTATTATCATTTTACCGTGACAGACTTCAATGGCTTCAGCAAGAATATAGTCAATATGATTATGCCCTACAAGATTACACCTAAGTAAATACAAATAAGAATTATCATTTTTACCCTGCCAGACAACATCGGCTTCAGCGTGAACATAATCAATATGATCATATCCTCGAAGAAAACACCGGATTCAGAAAATATCATCAGACGTGCTTGAGCACACGGCTGCCATGCAGTCTCTGTCACGTCGCCACCATCGTCAGATGAGAGAATTTATTTTTTTCCACGCTCAGTGATTTGCCTCTCGCCAGTAGGTTCAGCTCGTCAATTTTATTATGACAATTTACCGGCAAAGAAATTTAGAACCCAATAAATGAACAGATAATTCTTCTCATATTTTCTGTAAAATTAACTTCAACCAACATATGTATACTAGCATTTCTTAATTTTAGTTAGTACGTGGTTGATAGACGGACATTTTTCCTTTTTCACAATACTCAAACTATGATTATCCGAGTATTAATATTAGTGTCGACTAATCATACGTTACAACGCACAATACAATCGTATGTTCAGTACATTAATGTTCGTTCTCGAGAGCAATGAGAACTTTAGCAATGGGGTTATTAAACTTTTATCGCCTGTATTACACAGGAGGATAACTTTAAAAGAACGAATTGATTATATGTATTAAAATTATTCATGAATCGAGTGAAGTTTGTTACGTGGTCTTAGCGGAGCATCGCAAGGTGAGATGCGTTACGCATGCCTGCATGTGCGTTCAACGGTAATTTTATTCATGTACTGAATACTAATTTAAAGAACACGGTTAATCTACGATTCAAATGTTATTCAGGTTATGGCAATATTGTTGAGGTCGATAACATCGTCCGATATTAACATTAGTGTGTCTGCCACTTCTGTTAACGATTTTCTCTCACCGTTGCCGATTTTTTTCACATTTTTTATTTACTTCTTATTTAATATCGCTTCGTGTAAAGCGGACTTCATGGCGTATTGCGCGTTTAAAAATTTTACGACTGGCCGCAGGTTTGTCTGTCGAGATACTATTCGACTGAAACCTGTTCTTGATATAATCAATAATATTTCATCTGGGTTATTTTTATGTTTAATCCTTTATAATTTAATTATTTTGAATACACATTTCGGAATCTGATGAAGTGCGGCCACAGCAATGCAGCGCTCTGATTGCTTGACGCACTCCAACCTCCATCAATCGCCGCTGCTGTTACCGTTAGTGGCTATGGCAGTGCTCGAGTGAAGACACATAACAGTTTTGTTCTTCTATTTGTTTGGGACGTTTTTCAGTCATCAATTGCGAGATCGTAAACAGGTTTCTTTAGAAGTAGCTCGGCTTGCGTACACCTAATTACACAAGATGGAAGACCACTAAAAATCCTTGAAATTCTAATTAGACGAAGTCCAGAAATTATCGTACCCTGGGTCGTAGTGGGCTGATTACATTCTAAACGCATAGGCTAAGTGTATCTAAAATTTCTAAAGCACTTTTTAGCCATTTAATCGGAACAAAACAAATAAGCTAAAATGCGTAAATTTTTACGCACCCTCCAAACGTTATGCCACAATACCTTTCGAATTAAAAAAAATTAAACACAAAAATAAAAAAAAATTCGGTACAAAAATTTTGTTGCTCGATTAACAGCAATTTAACTTTGTTGGCTTCTTTGTTGTTCTCTTTAACTTTGGCTTCTGCCTGCTGTTGTGTTGAGTTCGACGATACTTCTGTCCAGTGGTTATTTCTAGAACTCTTAGGTTTATAATGGACACATAATAGTAATCGAAATTATTAATCGACATAAAACACTT